TCCTATCTTGCAGAATGCTCAGCGGCGCACCCTGCTGGAGGTATTGCAAGGATTCACCCAACGAGCCCAGGGCAGCTCCCCAGAGGAGGGGGGTCAGTATTATACATACAAACTGCAGGGGAAAACCTGCTGTTCTAATTCTATATAAAAGGGGGAAATAGGGCTAAATAAACAAGTTCTGAATATGCCAGAAAGCAGATTTCCCAGAATCTCACACAAGAGCAAACGGCTGAACTGCAGTTTCCGCACATTCTTCAGTTGCTTTCATTCGATCCGTGTTTAGAAGAATGAGTTCAAATGGAAAAATAACGTGTACATAATACGTAAACTCACTAGCAGTATAAACTTACACTTAAATCCGCCTGTGATGTTTGTGCCCTGGAGTTTGTCCCTTCACCTCATGTCACGTTTCTCGGCTCCTGGCCCTGCGTGCAGTAACCCCACTGTCTGTCTGCGTGCTGTAACCCCGCTGTCTGTCTGCGTACTGTCTTGTCTGCCCCACAGACGAGAGCGTGCTGTCAGGCTTCCGCCAGCCCCTGTGCAGCCTGGTGTTCTCCGCCCTGACGGAGTCCAGTCCAGCCCTCCAGGCCACTGCCTCCCGTGTGCTGACGGCCCTGGGCTTGCAGCCAGGTGAGGGGGCACGGCTGCCCATTCTGATCAATAGACTTCGGCCCTGTAGGTGTCTCCTGTCGTCCTAATGCCGTTTGACCATGTGGCCTCTGTGCTGGGCCTGTTGGACTGTGACACGGACCCTGTTTTCAAGAGGCAGCAGGCATGGTCAAATGGCCAAAAAACCTTTTAAATGAAATCAGGATCAGGGACTGGCGCGTTCCTGATCCGGATATTCACCAGGAATTCCCTGGGACAGCCTCAAGGGAGGGTAGTGACTTGTACAGAACTGGGTCCCTTAACTCCATTCCTCATAACCCCAAAAATAAAATCATCTCGGCTGGGTTTGCCACAACCATGTTGGAGGGATCGTGGTAACGGAGACGCAGGACATTCCCACATAGTTTGGCAATGTCCGAGAATTCAGTCTTATTAGGAAGAAGTGTGGTCTCCGATTCAAGATGTATTATGTTGAGAAATTCCAAAGCCTTGTTCAGTTCTGTATCTGGGTAGTCTGCCTGATGAGGTTGTGGGAAGAGAGAAATACTTGCTAAAAGTGTTCTTGGCGGCAAGTAAGAAAGCTATAACACGTAAATAGTTACAAAGAGACCCCCCCCACCCCAACCAAAGAAAATTGGATTGTTATTGTTTCAGAAATGTATGAAATGGAAAAATTTACCTTTCAGTTAAGACTCCAGAAGGACATTTTTGAGAGAAACTGGGAGAGGTGGATTATTTCTAGACCCTAATAAGAATGACTTTACACATTATACCCTCTGTAAAGATGCAAAAGTATGATACAGAACAGACTTTATACTCATTTATATTTGTAATACTTGAGTTTTTGAGATGACTGGCAACTATTTTTTTTCTGGTTACCTTTGTATGTTAATAAAAAACTTAAGTTAAAACAAAAAGAATTATGTCCCTATTTTTCAGCTTTATTATTTGTGCAGCTGGGTTTGTGCCTCTGTGACGATTCTTTGTGCAAATGTAAGGCTCCGATTCAGATATTGATTTCACAAGGTAAAAAGTGATGATCATGTAACAGTAAGCTACTTCAGACTGCTGTTTCAGCCTCTTTTATCGCTGAGATACCTGTAAACTGTGTGTCCCTTGAGAGTGAAGCTACTCCTTGTTCTCCAGGCTTGCTTTCGGAGTCGGATATCCAGCTGGCCGCTGATCACCTTACCAGGCTGATCCTTAGGGAAGAGGACCAGCAGAGCTGGTGAGTGGGTTTTTTTGCCACTAAGTGTCTATATTACTTCAGTCAAAGAATTGCTGCATGGGGCCCCTTAACTGAATTGCCTTCAGTAGCTTAGCATGCTCTGTAGGGCGACAGGAAGTGGTTGTGTTAGGGCAGGTTAACGAGGGGATGTGTCTGTCTCACTTCAGTTCAGCTGCAATGGAGTCTGCGGGCTCCCTGGCTGCTCTGTACCCTGCTGCCTTCGCCGCCAGGATGGTCCCTCAGCTGAAGGAGGAGATCTTCTCAGGTGGGGGATGAGAAATAATTTACACCCTTGTACAATCCTGGGTTTAAAAGGATGTCTTACTGTGAGAGGTTGAAAGGAATGAGTCTAACTACTTATAGTTTTCAAATTCCTCAGAGTTAGCCCAATGGTCTTTGTCAGACTCAACTTTGAATCACAACCCCAAAGAAGAGCATTTAAATCTGAGAACAGGAGGCACTTTGTTTTTTTACAAAGACTTGTGTTTGTCTGGCGCAAGCTGTACAGGATAGCTGCTCACGCCGATGCCATTGATGACCTCGAAAATTGCTTTCAAAGCGAGAATGAAGTTCTTTAAAAGTTTAGGAATAGAATTAATTTCAGCGATTTTAATGTCCTCCTGCAGAGCCAACGGAGGATCGGTCAGCTGGGAGATCCCAGCAGGCCGTGCGACAGCGTGGGATGAAGGCGTTGGCAGCCATTTCGTCTCGGCATAGCCTCATCCAGGAGAGCGTGCCGGTATTGCTGCAGGTCCTCTGCTCCGCCCACGCAGGTAGGCAACCAGCTCCATCCTGGGCCAGGGCTTTAGGTAAAGTGAGGACGCAAAGGAGCCTTCCACTTTTTCTCTCTCTCTCTTCAGGCAGCGGCTCTTTCTGTGCGGAGGAGGTCGTGTCTGCTTGTCAGAGCCTGCAGCAGATCGTTGAGCAGTCCCAGGACTCGGAGGAGACCAGCCGCTTCTTCCACCACACTGTCATCCCTCAGCTGCTGGGGCTGGCGGTCCAGGCAGCGCTGCGCGGTGGGTTGCTTGGCAACACTGGCGTGGGCCTCAGACGCGCGTGTTTACACAACAAGACAACAGGGCAGTTTATGGACCTTCGGCGGCCAGGCCTGCTGGTCGTGCACTGAGAGCACTGTGGTCGTTTTAACGTGTCGCTGCATGAGCAGGTTCAGTTGAAATATGCTAGTCACATGGAGGAGACAGTTAGGTTTTCAGAGTCCGAGTTGTTCAGTAAGTTTGAAACGACTCGTTTTCTCCCAGGCGGAGATTCCACGACCCCCCGCAGCTGCCTGACGGAGGAGAGGGTGCTCTCCGCGATGGCGCCGGTGGTCAGCCAAGCCTGCAGCCGCCTGCACTCAGAGTGAGTCACTGGGCAGGGCAGAGCACAGCATCCGTGAAACAAAATAGTAAAAGTACTCGACGCTTGTTATCATTGAACTCCTTCCTAGGAGGAAAAAAACTGAGTATCCTCCTCCTCTTTGTGTTCACCTAGCTGTTGCGTTTTCTGTTTCACGTTTCAAAAGCATGACTGCGTATGAAAAGTGTACATTTATTACCCTTCCCTGTTCAAGTACTTTTCCTGGCTACCCAGCTGAAATATGTCCTACCTAGGCACTGCTGGCCTCCTGAAGTGGCAGGCCCACCTGTAATCCTTGACTTCCTGCCCGCAGGCTGGCTGCCCGCACTGCCTCGATGGCCGTGTCCTTCTTCCTGGACGGAGACTTGACTTTCCTGCCCGAGAACAACTTCCCCAAGCACCTGCAGCTGTTGAATGTGAGTCCAGCTGAGCCAAGATTGTGTTGTGGACTCCGAGATTATTCACGCGCTGCAGGTGTGGCAGATTGTACTGGTCCTCAGATGGGCTTTACCTGTCTGTAAATTGCAGGAGTGACCCAGTAGACCACTGTGGAAAAAAAAAACACAGGATATCAGTGGGCATTTTGCCCCCTCAACAGGCAGTGTTTCCATTTATTAAATGGCAGTACAGGTATTCGTGCTGATTCTGGAAGTATGAGAGCAGTAATTGCCGACATTTATTACCTCTGACTTTTTTGCCTGGATGCTGAATATGTTTTGCATGTGTGCTGCAGAGAGCTGCTGTGATTATGCACAGCTTTGAGGGTGGTTTTTCTCCAAGGTGTGTTCACCTTTGTCTTGCAGAAGCAGCCCGACGGCTGGCTGCAGTCCCAGCTGGTCTGCCTGCTGATGGCCTGTGTCTGCTCTCTGCCCAGGAGTGTAAGTTCCTCTTTTGACTAGCACTGTGCAGGGTCAGTCCAGTGACTGACTGTGCACTTACTTCTGACGCCCTAATGCTATCAACTTCTCAGTGTTGAAGGCCACGTGGAATTTGAATTAATGTGGTGTTGTGCTGCAGTAACCTTCTGTTCGGGTGTTTTGGTTATTCATAAAAAAACTACCTTTGATGTGACTTGGATACCAAAGGGTTCAGTATTCAGTGTGTAGATGGTGCTCAATGTTCATAGTAGAGAAGCATTAGTAGATATGCTGAATAAGACATCCTTTGGTTCTGATAGGTGGAGGTTCCCCAGATTGACAGACTTCTGAGCCAACTGGAGGAGCTGAGCTGTACCTGTACCCACCCCTTTTCCTACACCTCCGCAGCAAAGTGCTTTGCTGGACTGGTTAACAAGCATCCTGCAGGTAAAAGCAGATCTCGGAGCACATTCCCAATTATTCTGCTGCAAATCTGTGGGGCGTCTTTGAGGTTCAGTCGCAGAAGCTAAAGAACGATGATGTAATGTGAAACCTTGTCCCTGGTTTTGTAGGAGAGCATCTGGACCTGTTGCTGCAGAAGCTGGTGAAGAGGATTGATTCTGAGCTGGACCGCGCCTCCTCTCCCTTCCGAGTTCAGACCTTCACTCTGCTGCTCTGGGTACGACATGAGCTCACAGTCCCCTGCTCTTCCTGAAGCCTGTCCTCATGGGGAACGTGTATTTCTTCCAGGGATGAGATCTCCATTTTTATCTAAACATGAACTAGAATAGTAGATCTGGTGTAAAAGTCCTGCACAGGCATTGTGTATATACGGTAGGCTTGACACTTTGTGCTGTGCGCAGGCAGTACTTGGAATTATGTCAGGTTACACTCCAAGATCTGCGCCTGTGGCTGGAAGGTTGCTGGTTGGTATCCCACAGCTGGCAGAGGAATCCTACTCTGTTGGGACCCTGAGCAAGGCCCTCAACCCCAACTGCTCCAGGGGCACCATATAAATGGCTGACCCTGCTCTCTGACCCCCAGCTTCTCTCCCTGTCTGTGTGTCTCATGGAGAGCAAGCAGGGATGTGGGAAAAGACAAATTCCTAATGCAAGAAATTGTATATGGCCAATAAAGCGATCTTATCTTATCAAAAAGGTGCCAGAAGTTGTTGCATCTTCTTAATAGCTGTGAATACAGATAGCATTCAAGGAGTGCAGATAGCATTTCAATGCAGCTTGAAATTTCAGCACCAATTCTGCTCTTTATGATTTGGGGGTGCAGCTCTGAAAGCAAGGTCCGATTACTTCAGATTGCAGAGTTAGAAGATCTACTCGTTGGGTTTTAATGACTTTTCCCTTCATCTCTGATGTAGTTGCCTTTCTGCGTCGTACGTTTTCAATGCTAAAATAAATACATCAGGTCTAAAAGCCACTAGAATGCCCACAGGTGTAGGACAGGAGCGTGCTGGGAGGCAGACTGGCTGTTTGACGTCTGTCCGTGCACTGGGCAGGGCTGGCACCTTTAGACATCTGAGTTGACTGCCCTTGGGTAGCCACAGATCAATGCAAGCCGAGGACAGCTGGAGCTGATCGTCACCTTTGCAATTTCACACCCCCAACTTCTGAAAAGATACTTCCCCCTCGGGTAGTAGTGTACACTTTGAGAAGGATGTCAGTAGCAGGTGTGTTGTGTGGTAGGATGTGATCGGCCATGTTTTTACTGGGATTTCTTCTGGTTAGCTGGAATAGTCTTACCTGCTGCAGGACTGCTGCTGTTTTGCAGAGCATGAGCCCCTGTCTTTCCTCACATGAGAGTCTTTATCTCTCCAGGTGGCCAAGGCCCTTCTGCTCCGATACCACCCTCTCTCGACAACTTTGACCGACAAGGTGAGAGTCTTCATCCTGCCTCCTGCATTTATCACAACACGCTGCCTGATTATCTGGCGGTACTTTGCTTCTTCCTCTGTCCCCCTCCTGACATCGTGCCTGTGCTGCTTCGCTCTGCTGTGTGGAGGTCAGTGTTAGGCTGCAGCAGAGTGGCCTTTCCTTAAATCCCCTTCCCGCTGATCCCAGCTGCTGTCCCTGCTGACGGACTCGGAGCTGGGCCCCCGGGCGGCTGATGGCTTCTCTCTGCTGATGACGGACTCCGTGGACGTGCTGAGCCGCGCCTGTCACGCCCACGTGCACATCATGTACCGCCAGAGATTCTTCACCGAGAACTCGCCCAAGCTTGTCCAGGGATTCAACTCCTCACCCAAAGGTACCAAAGGGCGGAGAGGGTTTTCGCCTGTGGTTTGACCACTGTGGTTTCCAGAGTAGTTTCGGTGTTTATTGGTTTGTGCTCCAGAAAAGAAGGTACTTGAGAGAATAAAAGGGAACCTTATTTAGAGACTGAAATGTGCTTTGTAGATAAGACCATCATGTACTTCACTCCTATTAGAGAAACATCCATTTCTAAAGGCTGTCAAGTTAGAAGAATGCAAAGGAACAGGTAAGGGTTTATTCCATGCTGAAAGGAAGAGACACAATGGCCAAAATGTTGTTTCTTTTCTTCTCGGTGTGCAATAAACCTCTACCTGTTCTTTGCAGCCTTTGCATGCTGACACAGCTACCTACTAGAAGTTAGAAAAATGTTTTATTCCTCCTCTTGCAGTTAAATATGAGTTACTTTTTGTTTTTTACACTCATATTTTAGTTTATTACTGCTGGGTTTGAGCAATTCTGTTAATGCCCCCTCATCAGTCTGTTTACCGGGTCAGAACTGGCAGACAGTCGAACTATCATCCAGACTGATGTGTTTATCATAGAGGTCAGACAAAGACAAGTTAAAACTCTGTGTTAGCAAGGCTGTGGCGAGAGATCACAAGAGGAAATAGCCACACGTCCTGCTACAGGCTGGTTGTAGAAGAGTAGATTCAGGAAAGACTTGTAATAATACTGTTCTTTTCTCTTACCCCAGCTAATATTTCAAAAACTAAAAAAATAATTATTGCTTTTGCTCAGTAATCCTGTAATTAGCCAAGCTGAGAGCTCTATTAGATCTAATTTCTTCAAGATGCTACAGCCATTGAGGAGTTTTTACGGAGAACTGTGACTGCAGAGGTTGTCTGACCCAGTGCCCTCTGTCTCACAGAGACGAAGTCCTGCTACCTGAAGGCCTTGTCCCACATGGTGACCAGCCTGCCCAGACAGGTGCAGCTCAGCGAGCTTCCCACGGTGAGTCCTGCAGACAGAAGGCGGAGCTTGGCCTGGATGTGCACCTCCATACAGAATGTACTGATTTGCTTCAAACTGAGGTTGAGCTTTTTGATCTGGCTCTTCTGATTTTCTGAACCTGGCGTTAGCGGATTAAGTGGGATTCCTCCAGGTGGCGTTGCACAGTCCGCAAAGTGCCGCAGGGAAGTACTTTGGGATTGATCGGCCAGGGCTTCCTTGGCTGTGATCGAAAAACAGGACTCCTCAAATTCTAGTACCCGCAGGCTTGCAGTAACACCAATGAAGGACGCACCCCTCCTACAGTCAGTGCTAACCCTCCTGTCAAGCACTGCATAGTTTATAGTGTGTGAAAAGAATGGCTCTTGTGGGCAGGTGGGCAGGAGGAGTATGTCTGTGTATCAGTCTTACATGCAGCCCAGGACCTGTGGATGTTAGGCAAGATGTGAGGCAGCAATTGCTGATTTAAGATTAGACTGTGGAAGATTATAATGAGAGGATCTGAGTAAAGTGTTTGAAATCCGCAAAGGTACTGACAACGTGAATCCAGTGGAGTTCTTCAGAATCAACAATGGGACACAAAACCCAGGGACACAAATGTAAACTATTTGGAATTGCATTTAAAGCCAAGAACAGGAGGTACTGTACTTCTTTATGAAAAGGATTATGGGAGTGTGGAACAAGCTATTAGCCGTGTTGTTAAAACCAGTACGCTGGTTACTCTCAAGAACCAGCTGGGTGAGATTCTGGGATCAATTAACTACCACACAGGCTACGTCAGCCGAGTGACCTCCTATTGTTCGTAACCTTTCTTATGTTAGGTTTTTTTCAAATGTTTTTTACAATTTCTTGCATTAGGAATTTGTCTTTTCGCATACCACAGCTTGCTCTCCATGAGACACACAGACAGGGAGAGAAGCTGGGGGTCAGAGCGCAGGGTCAGCCATTGTGCAGCGCCCCTGCTGCAGTTGGGGTTAAGGGCCTCGCTCAGGGACCCAACGGAGTAGGATTCCTCTGCCGGCCGCGGGATTTGAACCGGCAACGTCCCAGCCACAGGCATAGATGCCACAGAGCCACCGCTCCACTCATCTTGATCAAAGAAGTGCTTCATAGCTTGTGGTTTGCGGTTGTCCTGTGTCTGAACTCCGTGTAACAGAGCCTTCTCTGTGGGACCCCTCTCCCGGCTGCGCGAGTCACTGAGCTGCAGGGGAAGCAGTATGTGGTCTGATCTGTGTCTCTCCTCTCCTGTAGCTCTTGCCCCTCCTCCTGGAGGCTCTCTCTTGCCCCGACCGGGGGGTGCAGCTGTCCACACTGTCCTGCCTACACCCGCTGCTCCTAGACCTGCCCCAGGCCCTGACCCTGCACCTGGACACTCTGGTCTCCCGCCTGCGGGCCCTCACCACCAGCTCCGCCATGGTACCTACCACCTCTGCCGAGTCCAGTGGGGAGCCACACCCTGAAACCACACACCACACACGTTCACTGGTTCGAAAAAGGCCTTTGAGCGATACAGGAGGCTAATCGCACATCCAGATCACCCCATGCCATTATCATGTTTTTTTAAAGAAACGGTAATGGTTCAGTTGGAACTTCAGTGGACAGAGGATTTTTGTGTGCATGCAACTGGAGGGTCGAGGTCAAAAAGAACTCTTGAGGAAAGTCTGAACGGTCTGTAATGGGAAGTTTGGCTGGTTGGGGGTATCTGAAGAGCCAACGAAGGGTTAATTGTTAGCATAGAAGGGATAATTAGAGAGCTGGGCAAATGTATGCCTGCCTTTGTGGCCCCTACTGTAGCTGATGCTTGTTAGGGTTGAGCCAGGCACAAAGAGAGCACCCAGGAATAACACTGTTCCTGAAAGAGCTGGGTTTAACACAACTCTCTGGTCAGAAGGCTAACAGCTGTCTGATGATTACAGAGAGTTGGACAGGTTAAGGGTTAGACATCACCTACGAGCAGGTTGTCTCTAGATTACAAAAGGAAGACTGAGAGGAGGAGCAGAGGTTAGCTCTGAAGATCTGGCCCTCTGGTTAGTAAGTCAGTAAGTAAGCTCTCTGGTGGTGGCTGTGCTCTAGGCTGGGCATTAAGGTTTCCTAACAGTAGCTGAGAAGATTTGGGTAATGTAGTAGCAAACCTGGCTGCTTCTGGGTCAAAGGCACAGGCAAAAGTTGTGGTTAGAGACCCTGGCCAAAAGGGATCTGTCAGATAGGTTTACACTGATACTACAAGCGTTATGGTTACTCACTAGGGTTACTAAGGTTTCGGTCTCTTTAGTGGTATTAAGGCTTATGTTCCGGGTTACAGCTCATGTTTGTAGGTGAGATCAGGTTGCGCTGGTTAACTGTAGGTCCCTGGGAATTTGGGTGTCACTGAAGGCTTAGGGTCCAGTCTTGGAGTGAGCGAGCTCTAGGTGGTTAGACAGGACCGTAGAAGAAAGCCCAGTCACAGGTCAGCAAAAACACCACAGTTTAGATCTGTGTGGCTGGGAAACCATGAGTCAGGATCGGGACAGTGAAAGGGTTGCCATGGCGCAACAAGTGGGGGCGTGGCAACAGTGCCTAATATGGATCACAGAGATGAGTCTCTTTTGGTTCTTCCATCATCTCCATGGAGACTGCCTTGGCTTTAGAACCAAAGAAATAAAGCTCTTTATCACACAACAATGTCATATGATTTTAAAGAAAAGCATTTTCGTTTGTCTTTCATCAACCGTTATTTTCAGCATTTTTACTCCAGGCTTATAGTTTGCCAGACTCCATTTAATTGAATGGCTTCCACCAGCTTTTTATTTCCCAGTTATTAATGGAAGGTAAACGCTGGCAGCGTGTGCCGAACTGGATGCCGCATGCCTTTCTGAGCTTTCAGCACGGCCCTTCGGGCAGCGATGAGCAGTGAACGTTGTGTGAAGATTGTTTTCCCGATCTTTTCTCTCCCGCAGAACGTCCGGATCTCAGCTCTGCGCTGCCTGCACGCCCTGACCCGGCTCCCGGACCACCTGGTAAATCCTTCACTCGCCTTTGCTTGAAGCAGCGTCGTCCTTCAGCGTGTGTACTGGCACTTCTTCGCGACAGCCTTGCTTGTTCTAGAGCTCGTTGGCCGGTGAACGGCTCGGCGGGTGGGAACTGATGGGTGGGGGGCGCATGGTTTTAGAATTGGAGGCTCAAGCAGGATTTATTCTGCGTCTCTCTCTGCGTGCAGCTGGGGTACCAAGCCCTCCTCTCCCCCTCTCTCTCTCTCTCTCCAACACAGGTGCTGCCGTTCCGACTGGGGGTTCTGCGTGCCCTGGCCGTGCCCCTGGATGACAAGAAGAGGCTGGTGAGGAGAGAGGCGGTGCTGGCACGAGGAGAGTGGTGAGTGCCAGGAGCTGGCCGACCTGTCGGTGCGATTGCACTCGGCTCTTGCTTTGAAGCTCCCGGATGGTTCGCAGTCTGTCTTGGGAAGATTGATCTGAGAGCTCTTTGTGCACTGTAAGCTAAGTGTGCACTGTAAGTGCACTGTAAGCTAAGTGTGGGAATACTGCTGTGTCAAATCTGAAACCTGGCTCTTGGGCCGTTCTGTAATTGGGATTGTATCCACAGCAGAACCTACCCACTGAATCGGGAAGTTATGAGATGTGTAAAGCATGTGACCCAGGTAACAAAGATTCGACCTCGGGCTCGGACGCAGCCAGATTCCTTCATGCCGCTTCCGAAGGAGAAGGGTTGTAGCCCTGGCACTGTGTCCCGAGCTGATCCGCACTTCCGCAGGGCTCACCGAGCCGTGCTTGTCGCCTGTGCTCCGCAGGTTCCTGCTGGGAAGCCCGGGGAGGTGAGCCAGCCCCTCCGAGTGGGAGAGGGAGTCCGTGGGAGCACCTGGACTGGCCCCACATGGCCGAAACTCCACACTCGGAACACAGGGGCCCGGCACCACCACAGCCTTTAACCTTTTATAGAACAATGGTATTCAGAAGTATTGTCTGCCCTGCTAAGTGCAAAAAGTAAGGAGTCTTTATTGAGAACCAGGGTATGCTGGCCAAGATAGGGGCCCAGTTACACACACACACCCCTGCCCCCAGGGTGGGGGCAATTGTGATCTAACATTTCACCACCCTAACCAGTGAGCATGCAGACTGTGATGTACAGTGTTAGTGAGTGACAGATGACATCAGTGGACTCATTTGTGTTCATATTAAACCCTCATCAGTGTGCCTTCAGTTCTGACTGCTAACAAAGTAGGACATGGGACAAGTATTTAAGATTGCAGCATGTGTGTTCATTTCTATGTAGAAAATGCCTTACCGCGTATATTTAGGGCCAGGTTTATTTTATAGTACCCCTTAATAATTATATATTATAAATGCTATTTAATGTTTACGTAAATCAAAACTATCTGAAAGCCAAAATTACAAATCTGGATTACATTTCTTCTCTCTGTAGAATGTCCATGTGTTCCTGCACTCATTAATTCAGCTGTTAATGAGTCTGTGCTCCAGGTTCTCTAGCAGTATACTTGAACTAAGCCTAACTTCACAATCTCACAGATGTTCAGCCAAGGATGTTAACTTTATAAATAAATGTATCTATAACTTAAAATGACAATGTTTTGTGAATTCATAAGAACGGCATGTTGTCTTTGTTGTACCGAATGTGTATGTTGGGAGATTCAAGAGGTCAGCAAGGCTGGTGAGGGTGATGGGAAACTTACAGACAGAATGCTATGTCAAGGAGTCACGTGGGGGGGGGGGGCAGGCGACAAAACAGCTCATACTACTAGAACAACCTTAAAACAACTTTGTAAAAGTTTAATTTTAAATTATCAAATATAACAAACACCCACAGTCAAACAGTATGTGATGGAGCACAGCTCCACTGAGTCCTGGCTTATTGTATCCAAGAAGAGAGTATTTCAAGACTCGCACGGGCAGTTATTGCTCAGATTGGACCCTTCCTTGATGGTACTGTAGCTGTAGCCACTGCTGGTCCAGGTCCTTCTGCTGCCACGAGAGGCCCAGCTCCTGTAAGTCCAATGTGTCCCGAAAGCCCTTCCACCCCAGCACCTGTAAAACCCCACCCCCCCACACCAGCACATTAACCCCTAACTAAAAATGCACCCAGGGACACAAGGAAATCATTTCAAAAGGGAGGCGATGACGGTTTAACAAAAGACCAATCTTCTGGGGAGCGGGAAGAGGATACACAAGCGCCAGTCAGCGCTGCAGTCTGTCCCCACGTCGGACAGCCTGGGGCTCGGGCCCCGCAGCGAGGCCGTGCGGGACAGCGTCAGATGGACACGAGGGAGTTCCTGTAAGGAGCGTAGTCCCAGGTCAGGCCGTCCCCGTAGGGGCTGTGTCCCGAGGGCAGGAGGACTCGAGTCAGCCAGTGACTGCGGGAACAGAAATGACCGTTAGCTGGCCCCACTGGAGGCTGCAGAAAAACCTTCACTCTCGGATACCATTTCAAGAAGAGATCACCTGCTTTTTTATCTTTACCGCTCTGTGGTAGAAATGAGCAAATTGTAACCCGTCCGAACTCTGTAACACGCAAGGCCATTTGGCTCGTCTATCTTGTGTGGTGGTTTAGGGACTCCATTGTTGTGCCCTGCGACTTCCTGAAGGAGTCTCCAGTTTGGGTCTCTAACCACCCAGCTGGGAAGCCTGGAAAACCCACAGCTCTGTAAAGAAGTGCTTCCCATTTTCAGTTCTACTTTAATTCCCTTTTCATTTCCAGTCGTGACTCCTCGTTTCCCTACTTAGTGCGAAAGACAAGTTCACCTTCATTCGTTGTTAAACATTTTCAGACTTTATATACCTGCATGAAATCTCCCCATTTCCTAGACTGAAGAGATATAGCTCCTTTAATCTATCTCCATATGGCAGTAATCCCTTGTGACCAATCTTTTCATTGGAGCTCTTTGAACTCCTGCTAAGGCTATAATATCCCCGAGGGGTGGGGTCAGCATGAGGGTGGTAAAAGAATGAGTCCAGTTAAAAGAGAGACACGTGCTTCTCTAGGTGTCAACCTTTGGGGTTGTTCTGACTGACATCATAAATTACTTCTGTTCCATGTGCTAATATTTATTCACATAAGGACATAATAAGGACATTGAAGAATCTAGATAAGAATGCCCCTGCTGTAATGCTCAGAATCATCCACATGATTGTGTATATTATTTGCCGATACTACCTGCATGCATCATTTGTCTGTTTGATCCAGGATTTTATCCAAAATGATGCTATTTCTTGTTCCTTAACTGGTTCTCAATGTACGTAAATACATTACTTTAATTTTCAAATTAAGTGAGTCTTTTACTAGGGATCAAAACTGGTCTACTAATCTAAATGTACTGTATTCTTTAATGCTATCAATTGTCCTTAGTGCTTCTTTGAAGAATACTAGTAAGTTAAGATCTTTCATTCCTACATCTATATTGGCTGTCTATTAAAATGACCTTGTTTTCAAAGTGTCCTTCTAGTTTAGATCTACCAATAACAGAGGTACAATTGACTAGATTATAGTGTCTCTTGGTTCAGGTTCATCTCCACTTCTATGAATTGGTGCTACATTTGAAAATGTCCAGCCTGTGGGCGAGCTCTCTCCCTTGATGAGGGGTGAAAATCGTAGCCTGCAGTCTGTGAATAAATCCCTTATTTCTTTCGTAAACAAGCATAGCAGTCCCATCAGCTGATGGCGTAGTCTGAGCCCCCCCTGGCCCCTGTATGTCCTCTCTGTCAGCTACACTACAATCCTGGTGATCACGCTGTTCCTTCCAGAACTGGAGGCCTTGTTTAGGTTGTCTTTGTCAAAACCTGCATTATGTGATTATTTAGCATACTTGCTGTTTCTTCTACTGTTTAAATTAAATAATTAGACCCACAGTGTAACTGAGTGCGAATGGAACAGAAAGGCGGAGACCCCAGGCTGTTCAGGGTCCAACTCTGATGGCCCTGCTCTATAGGACGAAGAGGCCGCAAGTGAGGAATGGAAAAACCTGACCAGTCTAATGCTACCCGCTGGTGTCAGGACCCTGTCACTGAGAAGAACACTTAAGCTCACCTCTTCTTCTCCACTCCAAAGAACAACTTCCAGTTGTTCATCCTGCCATAGTTAAATGGATTTCGAAAAACCTGCAGAGGAGAGTCAAAAGAAGGGTCTCAGATTTCTGGGTTAAACATGTCACTCCCCTGCTTTAACAGTTAAATAACACTGGTTTACGCAGTCCTGCTGATCGCAGTTTCTTCCTTCATCAGTTCTTACTTATCGAGTCCAGAATGAAATGGCTCTACAAAGACAGTTTACAGGTCTGGCCCCGCGGACGCCCGGGTGCAGCCTAGGTGCCAAGTCTAGGATCCTCTCTCACCTTATGCCTCTTCTCCAGGCGCCGGGCCTCCTTCCGGTTGATGTGCCTCTCAATGCTGGTCTCGCCTCGAGAGATGAGCACCGCATGCCACAGGGTCAGGCCTCCCAGAGCTAGCGCCACCGAGCTGCGGGGAGGGACAATGGCAGGAGAGGTAGAAACGATCACAATCCCAAAAAGCCTCAAGCCCCTGACATAAAGGGAAACCAAACCTACATGATCTTACAGTACATAGACCTGCACTGGAATCTATTAAACAACAGGCCTTTCTGGATTCACATTGAAGTGGCTTTTCCACCCAAAACATCAAAGCATGTGCACAGCCTCTCATTGTCTAGAGGTATGAACAGAGATGGGTCACCCGTAGTTTCGGGTGCCCTCCCACTTCACGTGCATGTTACCGTGTTCCAGATCACGGTGATCAACTCACCTAGTCAGCACCCACAGGTAAATGATGCTCTTATGAAACATCCTCTCTCTGAAGGTGAAGGGAGGAGGTGGAGTCTGATAGTAGGTCTTAAAAAAAGCAGAACAAGAATGAGAAAACCTCTTCTTCCTGACCGGGCTAGTCGCCCTTCTTTCTCCATCCTGCCTAGAAATACGGTGTGCTGGCCACACTCAGACACTGGCTGTAACTCCAGGCACTGGCACTCTGGGAGACAGGTATCAGAACAGCTGATAAGACAATATTTATTCAAGAAAACAGATGTTGTTAAATAGAAGTGAAACTGTATTTGGAGGAGGTTTGCTTAGACCATCTGGCTGCTTAAAGCTCATATTTCCCCACAAAGCACATTATGTGTTCTCCCTCTCCTTCATAGAAGATATTTTTTTTCCTAACAGAATGAAGGAATGTTTAACTTTATTAAATGGCACTCAGATTTATTTCATATCCATTTGACACTATACATACTGCAAGAATCATATCCTTCCAAATCCCTGAGCTTTTTCCTGTCTTCGACAGCCTGCTGGAGGCGTTGGCTTTAAAGGCTGCAGCAGACTTCCCTATCAAGACGTGAACATCAGGGGGCAGATACCCTGTCACTGTATATTTAGAGTAACAGTTCTGTTAATTAAAGGCTAAGTTTAGCCATCAGTTATGTAATGACTCACAGCTACAGAGGACACACCCAGTTACTGATGCACAGCTCTCACACGCACAGCTAGGTCACCTCACAGGGAATGAGACCCAAGAGTCGCCCCACTACAGCTTCACTGGGCAGCGTCAGGGCACTTTCACAGAAGGAGGGAGGAAGCCTGTGCTGCAGAATCAACCCAAACTCTCCAATGAAGGGTTGGGTTAACAGCCAACAGCACAGAGCACACAATGAAGGACAGGAGAAAACATGAACTACACAGCAGTTTGAGACACTGAAGAGCAGATCTATTGCTGGAGAGAAGCTAAAGGGCATTTTCCCCTGTTCTTTCCACCAAAAACACACAGAGGCCTTTGCGATTACTACAGACAGCAGAGTGTAATTATTTAAAAGAAAATATGCAGTTTCAAGTAAATGGTAGCCTGTCAGGCTGTTGTACATCACGAGGTCCAGACAGTTGTCTACTGTGGAGGCTCTCTGTCTGGTCAGATTGATGGGTGCCAGATAAACTGAGCAGGAACAAATTACACAAGAGTTCTTTCTTGTTTCCGAGTAAGACTTCTGGTCAGCACCATGGTCACACAAATTAAAAAGCGCTGACGAAAACAAATCCATTTACGTCAAGGAACAGAAACGTTGACTTGTTCTGCTGGAAGCGCAGACTGCTGGTGAATCTGTTATCAATGAATGGATCGCCACCCTGCGGTAAAGGGACACTTGTCTAAGGTCACACACAGCTGACGACACACAGAGGGGGAGGGGTGAGAGAGCTGCTGGCACACGTTGGCAGCAGGGTTATGTGGGTGTGTATCTGTGCCAACTGGAGATGCAGCCCAGTGAGAGTGCAGGGTCTCTGTACTACCTGCCCAGACACGAATCCCAGAGGCAGGATGCTGAAAATCAGCCCCACCTCCGTCACTGCCACCCCATGCCTCTCGGAGTCCAAGCTCTTCATGCGCTATTGAAACAATGCAAACACACAGGGCCTGGGTTAAAATCAGCGCCCCCCAGCTCCCTGCCCATGTCACTGCAACAGGGCAGGGAACTGGTGTGTCCCTCTGACTGGGACACACCACCCAGGCCAATATCCAACACCATGCAGCCCTGGGAGACCTGTACCAGAGAACAGACCTGGGAATGAACATTCATGACAGTAAAGCAAGTGATATCAGGTTACATCTGGATGCTTGGTGCTCAGAGGAATAAACTGCCAGTCCTTTTGGATTCTTGGAATTCATGAAGGATCTTTTGAAGGAAAATGTTTATTATGTTCTAGGTCTGACAGTTCTCAGGCCGTATCTAATTTCTCTGACAGCCTGATTCTCCAAACATATTGTTTGAGCTGCCAGAAGATAAAAACATCTCTAAGATGTTTTGTCACGATTTTACGATACCTCTTTCAACCCCAGCAATTCCTAAAATTGATCACGTTCCCGCATTAAGTTTTACGAAGCTCAGAAACCAGCGCCTGGAATCCGAGAGCTTCCGTTTGCCCACCTGGAATTCTACATTAGGTAATTAACAGTTCATAAAAAATGAATGAATTTTCGAGGCCGGTTCATATTGCCTGGGGAGACGAGTGCGCAATTAGCTGCCAGTCAGGGGCTCACCTCTATTGCACTGTAAGCATCAAAGAACATGTTGCGGCAGCTGATGCTGCAGTAGACGCAGCCCATGGTCATGAAGAGGCAGAAGGAGAAGAAATAGCGATGGTTGAAGTGGCCCACGCAGTTATTGAGCCAGGCTGGGAGAGGCAGCGTTAAGGGGAGTCAGAACTTGCCGCTGGATCGCAATGACACGTGATGTTTCGAGATGTGCCACGCAAGAGGATATAGAAAATAATTACTAACACTACTACACTGGTGTGTACAATTTCTAAATAACAATTTTTACACGCTTGCGTTACCCATACACTGTGTAATGTGTACAGCCCCGTGAGAAGAAATGGGTCAATTGTGAACATTGTATATTATTCATCATCATAATAATAATAATTGCTTACACTTATATAGCGCTTTTCTGGACACTCCACTCAAAGTGCTTTACAGGTAATGGGGACTCCCTTCCACCACCACCAAGTGCAGCCCCACCTGCATAGTGCGCCAGAACGCTCCCCACACACCAGCTATCAGTGGGGAGGAGAGCAGAGTAATGAAGCCAATTCGTAGATGGGGATTATTAGGAGGCCATGATTGGTAAGGGCCAATGGGAATTTGGCAGGGACACCAGGGTTACACCCCTACTCTTTTTGAGAAACGCCCTGGGATTTTTAATGACCAGAGAGAGTCAGGACCTCGGTTTTACGTCTCATCCGAAGGACTGACGTCTCATCTGAAGGACGGATGAAGTCCTTACACACATGAAGGACACTGTGACCAAGTCCTGTTTGATTGTATCCAAGGTCAACTGAACAAACGCTGAAGAGGAAGAGTTTAATTCTACAAGATGAAGAAGAAAACACCAGAGGCTCATTAGTGAGCACCCAGCCAGCTTGGACCTCCCCAGCTCTCACGACAGGGAAAAGGATACGGCAGTGGTGATCCATTTTCAGTATGCACCTGGAATGCAAGAGAACTGTGTAAACGTGCGAAGTGTGAAATTCCTGTCTGACTGCTAGACAGGAGAGAGCACAAGGGGCCTTCCTCACCCTCTGCTGGTCTTGGCAAGCACTGGGGCTCTCTTTGCACTGGTTTGCTTTGTTAAAGCAACCATAAAGCTGCTTGTTTTTAGACCATGAAAAGACAACATGCAGGAATAAAAAAGCAGCTCATTTTGTTTGGTAGGCACGTGTATAAGAGTTTAAGCCAGCTTGTTTCTTTTTTACAGGAGTATGTGCAGAGCTAGCACTGTTAACCCCAGTATATGCACTTCAGCCTTAGGGACTTGTCCTGTTGTACCTCAGGCACTTCCTGCAGTGGAGAGGAAACGTGTACCTGCCCGGTGTGGCTGTACCTGTTGCAGATGCTGCAGTGGTGAGTCCTGGCGGGTTTGGGGGTGATGCACTTCTTGCACACCGACACAGAAGGGATGTCATGTTTGATCTGGAGTCAAAGGACAAAGTGATAGGAAGAGTCATGAACTCCAGGCAAGCAGCCCGCAAGGCCCCTGGCCTGCATCTCTGACTCATACAGACGGTCACATACGCACGCAGCACTCTGACTCTTCCGCATCCATTTCCAGTCCACCTTTCTGGTAAGGCTGTGTTACTCCTATTCTGCCCTTCCCTCTTATTGAAAACACAGCAAGTTCTGTGACAAGCGTTCCGAGTTTTTGTAACAAACACAGTTTTCTTGTAAGAATAATTCTGCATCCACGGATCAGCAGCAACCAGCAACAACATGAACCTCCTCATCCTTCTGTTCTCTTGGGCTCTGCTGGCCATCTTCCGCTTGCCTTTCCTGTGACAAGTGTCATTTTAATCTTATCAAGGCCGAGAGCTGCCAGTGAGCTGACATCACCCTGCCCGTATATACACTCTGTGTCCAGGTGCCCCGCGTGGGGGCAGGGAGTACCTGTGGAGGATAGCCCGGAGAGGTCCTGGTGGCCTTGTAGTAGTGGAAGACAATCATCACCAGGTTCCAGTGCCCGTAGACTATGTGCCACACAATCCAGGGAAGGGAGTAGGTAGTAAGAGCCAGGGGCAGCAGGCTGAGGTATATGATCAGCAGGACGGAGCTGGTGAGCACCACCACCAGGAACACAAAGACCTGCGAGGGGAGGGGGTCATGGGCAGGAGACACTGTCAGCGCCAGAACAGAACACACAGCTTCCACACCTGGCTTCACCGATGGCAAGACTGGGGCAGGGATGAGGATACACGTTACTGGCTAAATAAGGACATGCAAGTAGCAAAGGGAAGTATAAATGGGGATTTCAGCCATTGGTGGTTTCATCACATACTGTACGTAGATATTAAAAGTTACACACCCTCGTACAGGAAGCACAGCTGACAAAGCCAGTTAGCAATAACAGGCATCCCAATTTTATAACACAAGAAGTGAAGAAAGGGTTGTTGAAAGACGTCAGGGTATCAGATTAACCAACGTGGTTGGGTAGTTTGTCTCATACCACTCCAACCCTTTGTGTAAAGTAGTGTCTCCTGTCCTGATTAGAGGATCCAAGCCAGGGTGTCAACCTCAACAACATGCCTGAATTGCAAATTCCTCATATCTGCCGGGTGTTAATCGAGTGGGGAGAACTGGAAAGTCACAGCTGTCATATTTGAAAAGCCAGGTTTTCATATTTGTCCTTTGCGCCGACTACCCAACTTACCACCCCAAACCAGCGGGTCAGGTGGTCCACCAGCCAGTAGACAGGCTCGAACAAGGAGTCCATGATGACGTCCGAGTTGGTGAGCGAGTTGAAGTACAGGGACCTCAGGATCAGCCTGCCGTAGCTCCACAGCTCCCTCGGCCGCTTCAGCAGCTTCGAGCGGCTTCGCCTTGGGCACAGCCGACACCACCGCAAGAACAACCGCATGGCGCCAGCGAACAGCCGTGCCCGACTGCGCATCCCCCTGCGAAACACTGACACAGACACGCAGCCACGCTGACGGCACTGCTCGGACACGACGGCCCACGGGCCACAGCCCGAGGAGCGGCCCGCTGGGGGGGTCCGGCGGAGAAACCGCGGCAAGCGGGAGCCCAGAGTTTCTCCGCTTTCCTTGGATTAGTCTCTCGGAAACCCTCCAGGGATTGAAGCAAAGGTCATTTAGCACAGGGCGAAGCCAACAATTAGGGAATGAGCAGACACCCGAGATGAGCATTATTTCCAACGAATTTAATTAATACGGCTGAGTATTAGTTACACTGGATGACGGCGCCTCTCCGTTTCTACAAAACACCGCTGATGACTTTTAATGCCACACCTAAACACAGGAGTGACGACACCAAAAACATGTTGCCCCCTCACACACACCGCTCCACGTGGGGATAAAAAGTGCATTTATCAGATACTAATCGGCACACGTTATCAGATATGTGAACGGAAAATTAATAAAAAGCAGCAATTGGGGACCTTTGCTCTAAACAGAGAAATTGTGATGCTGAAGACTATTTGTACACTCCTAGGTAAGTCATAATGGTCTGGAGAGGGGGAAAATACTAAACAACTCAGAAAAAAGACACTATTCTTCTGGACACGAAGGTAAACATCTATTTGTGAACTCCACACCCATTAAAGCACTTGAGAAGAGAATCACACCCCAAGGCGTCTTCTGCCAGTCAATTTCAAAAAAGCTCCTGCAGGGGGGTTTTGCTTCTTAGTGTGCTTTCTCATGAACTGCTACAAACCTTGTGCTGGTTCATTAAAAGCGTGTGGTTTTACTCAAAGCCGGTTTCCACTGCTGTCTGATGCTGTGGCTTCGGAGCCGCTGGGAGGTCATCTCTCCACTGCAGCTCAGCTCTGTCATTGATCTGCCTGGGAATTTGTGATTCTTGGTTGCTCAACATACAAATCAAAAGCTGTGGGACCTTTATATACATCTAGAAGGCCTCTGTGTTTTTCTGTCTTTAAGCAGGTTGTGGAACAACAGTACAGTGATCCTCTCTAACGCTACACTGGCCTAGTTCTAGCCCTAACTCCTGTCTCTGTCCATACACATCTCCGGGATTACCAGAAATCATGAGCCGTGGCGTACAATCAGGGAACGACCACAGGATATCCCTTGAACACTTCTTCAAACTGACCGATATGACTGAAGGGAGGCGGTGCTCGACAATCATGAGTTACGTTCGAAATGAAACTCTAAAACGCTGTTTTCTGTCCTACTGTATTACCTGGTCAATTGTCACATTGTTATTCATCTGCATGTTGCCGATTCCCCGTCTCCTGCATCGAATTGAAACGTTCCGGTCGTTCCAAATGAAGATCAACAGTCTTATTATTTCTTTGAACTTGCAAGTTCAAGGGAAAGAGCGATCCCGTTTACCAGCTGTAGGGCAGCATTTAGCCACTTTCACAAGATCTCCTTCTTCGCGAGTGGGAACTGACAAGCTTCCAAACCTGCTCACAGTGCTTTGTGCGTGAAAGTAATAATTTCAATACCCATTTCCTTAGAAAACAGGTGATGCTCCAGAACAATTGCCAAAGCTGCCAAGCGTGTTTCAGCATAACTCGGCTTTAAGAGCAGCATGCCTCCCCAGGACTCCCAGGAGCAGGTCGATGCAGAAGCAGACAGACATGAGAAAGCACATACAGAGGATGCCCTAGTCTTGGTTTTCGGAAGTACCTACATTTGTCATTTTTAGCTTGATAAAACCGAACAAATCCTGACTCAGAGGGAACCTGACAGGATTCGTTGCAGTGCCTGGACATGATAAGAAGATCAAAGAAACAATTTCAGACACCTCCCTGAAAGGTTAGCTACATAAAAGCTCATGGGAAACAATACTTGTATTACTAATGACAGAAATACTAATTAGTATACATCTTGTACTGATGAAAGTACATACTTTTTAATACGGAAGATAAAACAATGTGTGGTTCTTATTCTTCTGTTAGCAAAGTGTTCATTATAATGAAAGATTCATTTTTAGACATTTCTATGGTGAAATAGTAGGAAGATTTTTTCAAGTTTTATAGCGACAAATGACTAGTTCAGAATAGTGACTGAAGTAGTAAACCATTCAGCCTGTCATCTTCAAACCTGGTGAAGCGTAAATGTGTGGGCTCCGTTTTAATCTCCGTGTACACGAGAAAATGACGACTTTTGTATTTATAAAACGATCCTTTCAAAATGATGAACATGAAATTGTTCACAGCTCCCGAGACAGCAGTTCCAGATAAACACACGAAAAGCAGGGTTTATAGTCGCCAGTATCCAGAGCAGCAGCCTGACCGGTCGGAGCGCACGGTATGTAAACAAGTTTCCCCTTACCTTTTCCCCTGGGCATTTTAACTTTACAGGTAACGACAGCGTGTTAGTTTTTCTATAAATTAAACATCAAACTTGATGCCATAAATATGAAATAACTCCTTTAATAAAGTATAATTAACATACAAGTGGAATTCAGCCTGACCCCACCACAGCACTGGGCCGTACACATTCTTGTCGAGCTCAAGCGCACTTTATAACTCCGTCTGCGCTTGAACCCCGGTCAATCAGATACCAAGTCCAGGCAGCTCTCAGCTACATTGCCAGAGCACGAATCCCTATGTTAGGGGATGCACAATAAGTATTATTTTTTTTTACAAAATGAAAATAAACTGCCTTGTTATTTCAAATTTGTAAAATGACTTCAGTCCATCGGTGACCGCATCACTCATCTACAGACATATAAGCAGTTTTTAATCTTCACGGGAGACGAAAGGATTAAGCCTTTTTATGCTTTTTCATCGGATGACCGACCCGCAGTTCTACAAAATGGCAGATTTAATTAATTCCCATTCAAGGTTCGAGAACATTTGTTGTTTTATTGTATTAAACATCACCTGAAAGCTACCGATGTTATTTTTTTTTTCTACCATTGTGCATCACGACCAAATCCCCCCAAACCCTGCTGTTTTTCCCTCAATCAGAACATCACCCCTCAGTCAAACAGCACACGCCACCTGCAGACTTATTATCTGCCGTGGAGAAATAAAATCAGCAGATCCTACTTGACAGAAGCATAAGATACCCACCTGGCTCACACCGGGACCCCGCTCGTATCGGACGAGGCCTCTCAACTCATTGTGGTACGAAGTGTTTAATATCAGGAATGCGGCGGAATAAATAAAAGTACATTGTGGTACTGCCCTGTCGGCACCCTACGCATGTGTCCGACAGTGCGGAAGTCTGGGAAATGCTGTTTTGCAATTACACTTCCTGCTCCATATCTTCCAGGAACTACAGCCTTTAAAAATTAATGCAAGTCCATAAAAGCCGTGATCTTACATCTAAAAAGAAACTAGCATAATGCAATCAACCGCAACGTGGAGAATTTAATCCAATATATTATTTATTCGGAGATAAAAGCGTCGACGGTCACGTGAATAATTCCATAGGCTCACGGGAGTTGTAGTTCAATTAAACTCGTCCCCTCCCCTCGTGTGGACGCGTGCATGTGGTGTTGCTCCCCTGCTCGGTTTGCTGAAATCTGCGGTGTTTTCATCTGAGCCATGGCATTCAGCTTCAATTTCGATGTGCAGCTGGACGCGGGGGATTCGTGTCTGGGCGATCACGCCACCCTTCTGGCGAGTGAAGAAAATAAGACTTCTAAAAATACTGTAAGTCCGGGTCCGCAGGTCCCGCAACGAGCAGGCGTCAGTGTGAAGTAGTGGTTTTAATTGCGTCTCCTTTCAGAGCCGGGGGTGGGCAGGAGTACTGCAGATAGAAACTGAACGATCTTGGTAGAGAAAAGTAATGAGTTTAAATTACAAACCCGGAGCTCTGCTGCTCTCGGGGTTGCTTTGTTGAAACCGTAATTGTTCCCGTAATTCAAGATTGTTTAAAACAACAAGCTGGACTTTATGAGGGTGCGAGCTGTCAGTCTTATTTTTTCAGTTTTTATTTTCAGGTTTTACGTGGCGATGTGGTCTATTAAGTTTGCTGAGCTGCTAGTGTAGCGGCGGTCAGCGCTCCTGCTGGTTGGGTTTCTTCCCTAAGACATGCTGACTGGGTAGATTGTCGTCTCCTGCTTGGCACCGTGAACCTGAGTGGGTCCCCTGCAGTGCACCAGGCGTCCACTTCGGGATATAGTCTTGACTGTGCCCTATTGTCCAGGACGGGCTCTGGAGCGCTGCCAGCCTTACCTCCATCAACAGAGAATAGGAACACCTGTGTTCACTGGCAGATAATCGCAAGGGGTCTGTAAGAGTTTTACACGCCAAGATCTGAATAAAACTTATCTGAGACCTTCATTGAGCTGAACAGCCACCAGAACATCCTTGCTGGTCAAGAAGGCTCTTTTATCGAGACACTCACGGGCATTAACTGCCCCAGCTGTCATAATCACAAGAAAGCACTGCTACATTCACTCAACCATCTGCTGAAATTGCCGAACATATCGCTGGAATGAAAATGAGAAAACATCTCCCATCTCTGCGCAGGTGTACCTTTTCGGTCAGTACAAGATTACCCGTGGCACTCCAAGCAGAGTGTTATAGAAACGTTGTCAATTTATTTCAGGAAGAGGCTGGCAAGCCCCTCGAATGCACACTTAAGGAAGCGAAGGAGCACCGTCCCCCCCTGGACTGCCGGCCCCTCCTAGAGAACTCCGTGTGCGAGACCCTCTCCCTGGGGACCCTGCCCCCGCTCTGCTACCTCAACGAGTCCGTGCTGGAGCAGACGGCCTCGGAGCGCCCGGACCAGGAGAAGATCCTGACCCAGACCGCCGCCTCGCACTCCGATCTCATCGCCGGCGTGTACGAGGGCGGCCTGCGCATTTGGGAGTGCACCTTTGACCTCCTTGGGTACCTGGAGAGTGAAGGAGTGACCTTCTCTGGGAAGAAAGTGCTGGACCTGGGCTGTGGAGCAGGATTACTGGGGATCTTAGCCCTGAAGAGAGGAGCCCAGGAGGTCCACTTCCAGGACTATAACAGCACTGTGATTGAGGCACTGACATTGCCCAATGTACTGCTGAACATCGAGGAGGAGGAGGAGGAGGAGGAGGAGGAGGAGGGGGAGGGGAAGAGTAGCAGCCCATCCCCCAAAAGGAGAGCCACAGGCCTCCAGACACGTGCTGAGCTCGCCCGGTGCAGGTTTTTCTCAGGGGACTGGGCGTCTTTCCTCACCCTGCTGCTCAGCAGTGACCCCCCTCCCAAATACGACATGATCTTGACATCCGAGACCATCTACAACACAGCCTCCTACCCAGCACTGCACGCGGTGCTGAGCCAGCTGCTGGCTCCAGTGGGGCAGGTGTACCTGGCCACCAAGGCGCATTACTTTGGCGTTGGGGGAGGACTGCACCTCTTCCAGAGTTACGTGGAAGAGAAAAACATTTTCAGCGTGAAGCGTGTGAAGGATGTGGAACAAGGGCTTCAGAGACATGTGGTGCTTTTGAGCTTCAAAGAAAGAGATGCAATTCATACTACATGAACACGAGATACAGAAATGGTTGTAATATCAAACTTGCAAAATATGGGGGCTGTTCAAGATTTCTTTAGCTTTCCTGGAGTCTAAAATCGCACTCCAGTGTAACGTTAACTGTTTCTAACAGCAAACACATCCTGGCTTCACATTTATTTTTTTGAACAAAAGATTAAATAAGTTTTTTCACTTTTGTAGAACACCACCATGACAAAATCTGTGGAAACCAAACCATAAAGCAAGAAAAAATAAAGCAATCTATCAACATACTGGATCCATATTGATCATACACACACAAAGAGATTAACAACAATGAATGTTTCAACTAAAGGCTGTCTAAATATTTTCAAAGACTTAAAAGTAGTAATCATAATAGTCCCTCTCTACTCAGTTACCATTTGAGTCCTATTTTATACCACACTGAGCTTAATCCTTCCCTAAAGATGTAAATATGAAGCAACAAAAGGGGATCTGCTAAAAAAATATTTAATACCGTTCTTGATAAAAAAAAAATCTGTGTAGGCGACACCAGCACAGAGCCGTAAATACCAAGTATAATTTAAATATTCACATCAAAGTCCAAGTGTTGTACTTGACAGAATTCACCCAGGCAGGGAAGATCCCAGACACTGGGCCTCTGCACCCTGCAGGGGAGCACGTCTTTCAGCCCAGCTTCACGGTGCTGTGGGGCCCGGGGCCACGGGGGACAGACGGCTGGGGGCCTCCTCACGCCTGGAGGTACTCCGGCTGTACCCTCGCCACCTTCCGGAACTCCTTGGCATGAGTCCGCGGACACTGCATCTCACACCAGCTGATCGGCACCATCTGCTCACCTGCGGGAATACATAAGGGTGTAGAACTCTCACTCCGACAGGGTTAACACTCCCGACCTGGCTTGAGAGCGTTTTAAACAGACGCCTACCGTTACACGTGGCATCCCAGAAACAACCGAAAGGCGGGGATAACATTATCAGGAACAGCCACAGTGCCATAAATGGGAGCATTTTGTATGATTACAATGTGATTGATAATGGTCACTAAATCCCCAGTCACAGTAATAACAGAGGGGTAACCATGTCTTGACCAGGACTTCAAAACCCTATGCAATACTGTTGTAATTTGGGGCACTATGAGAAATGCAGACATCTTCTGAAATCTGCATGCAGAGTCCTAAGGCCAACTGAAAGATTATATTCATGGTATTCTCTCCCTCAACAATTCAGAACACCATTCTATTCTATTCAGTCAAAACGCACAATTTGCAAAACTGGAATGTGATTCATCCGTGCAGGTAAGAATCAGTTCAAAGTCAGCAATGCAGGTCCTTTGAAAACATACTCACCTGCTTCACTATGTGCTACCACCACTCCCAGCTCATTCTCCGCTGTGGTGAGAAGATAGTTGGACTGGACATCACCTAGGGAGATCTGCCTAGTGGTCAAGGGCAACACGGGACAGACAGAACTGGAATCACTGTGCTGTGGTAACCGAGAGGCTCAAGCCTGGATCTAGAACTTAAGAGCACGAGACATTATTCAGAACATTTTGTACAGACATACAGGTCAGACTTGTTACTACTCAAGCTTTACATCTCCATTGAGCCCTTTATTCACAATGCCGCTAAAAGCTGCACTGCATGCAGCGTGCGCTGACTGCCGACGCACCCGTCGGCAAACGCGCAGCTCTTGTTAATGTTTTTTAGAAGCATCAGAAAGGTGTCGAGCAACAGAGGGCTGTTGTCTGCCCTTCAGCATCTACAAAGGATACAACTTTGGCTAGAACGATATCTCCTGGTCGGAAACTCTTGTAGATCTCCACCTGATAAAGAGTAAATTTACAGGTTATGGGATTGGGAAACCGGAAATAAAGGCAATCAATGCACTGCAAGTCAATTTGAAA